GTAGTAGTAGTGTAGTGTGTGTGTGTGTGTGTGTGTGTGTGTGTGTGTGTGTGTGTGTGTGTGTGTGTGAAGAAAGCCACAGGGCTATTTTGGACCTTTCCTGCTAACATTGTCTCTGTTCGTCAAATGGCCAAATGGCTAGGCAAGTGGACATGAGATTGAGATGTCAGAGTCTATTCTTGGCACTCCTGAATATACACTGTCTGTGTCCTTGGGAAAGGCTCTTCACAAGACCTCCCTCACTCACTCAACAACGGGTATAGAGTGGGTAAAAGACAGTGGAAGTAGAGGGATGGGCTCCACCTTCGAATACCGTGCCCTAGACACAGTGGATTAACAACCCATTGTGGGGTCGTGTGGCGTAGCGGCAGCGTTCTCGACTCGGAACCAGAGGCCCCGGGTTCGAGTCCTGACATGCCACCGATCCTGTGCCCTTGGGAAAGGCACTTTACACGACTTTCCTCACTTCGCTCAGGTGTAAATGAGTATTGTACTGTCCCTGTGTGGACAACTGGACCTTGTGATCAGCGTACTGAAAACTGAGTACATGTGCTACAACACTGGCCCGGGTCAGTCACTGCAGGTTTATGGAGAACCTATCAAACAGGTGCAAGATTTTAGATACCTTGGCTCCATGATGGCCTCTAGCAGTAACGACCTTAAGAAACGCAGAGCTTTGGCATGGGTTGCTTTCTGGAAACTAGAGCATCTCTGGAGGAGTGAGTGCATCCCATTTGCCACTAAAGTAAAGCTCTTTAAAGCCTCATGTGTATCAGTGTTGTCCTATGGTTGTGAGTCTTGGGTAATCACGAAGGACATGGAGAACAAAATCAACTCCTTTGCTACTTCGTGTTACCATATTATGCTGAACATCAAAAGGCGTGACCGGGTAACAAACGACAGCATTTACAACTTGACCCAAACTAGTCCGCTGATTCAGCATGTGCGTCGGAGACAGCTGAACTTTCTGGGACACATCCTGCGCATGCCTGAGGATGAACCTGTTAGACTGTACGCCCTCTACGTGCCCTCTCATGGCAGACGCAGGCGAGGCCGACAGCCTACCTCCTACTTCAAGTATGTCCAGCGACTACTGGGAGATGAGCACAACCAACTAACAGAGAAGCAGATCGCCAACCTTGCTAGCGACAAGGGGCAGTGGAGGGACCTTGCAGTCGCCTGCGCAGCAGCCGACCGATGATGACTGTCCCTGTGTTGGTGGCGGCATTAATATAAGTTGAAAAAACTTGAGTGTGCCGTCGCCACGTCTTGTGACTACATGTTTCGGAATATATAAAAAAAAAAACCATTGGCCCTAAGGCCTCATAAAGGCTATGGGACTACCTTCCCCTTGTGCCCCTTTTTTTCATGCCAACATCTGCTTGGAGATTAGCTGTAGAAAACAACAGATAAGCGAGACCTTGGTAAGGTTGAGTGGGTTGGTAAAGGAGGCTGAACGTCCGGGCAAATATTTGAGCTGGCAACGGGACTACATCTTCTCACGCAATGGTCATCAGTTTTAACATCACCCGAAGGCCACTTAAATGTACGCACGTTACATGCGTATGGTTGGAATAGCATCTGTAGATGCTGGATACTAGCTACAGAGACAGAACCCGTAAACCACCTGGTTTACTGGTTCTGTAACTTGGCTTAAAACACATAAAACAAAACCCTTAAAACTCTATTGTTGAAACAAAAATTACTAAATTTAGCAAATAAATGCCCTTCAGAAACCTGTTGCCATGGCAGCACCAAAAATCATTATCTTATTCCACTGACACAGATTTGTTGCCAACAATATTTTAGGAAAAGTCACCAAGTTTTGTGGTTCTAGCGCAAGCCGTTCAGACGCTATCCGACATCAAACTTGGCTCTGGCACTTTTAGTGAATGATAAAGTTAGTACGCCAGTAGAAATAGTTTATAGTTATAGACCTACGATTTTGTCGACCGATTAAACAATAGTTGTGGGAGGATATAAGGTCTAAGGTAAGGTAAAGTGGTATTTGCCATACATTGGATCCGATGCAAGTGTTGTGCAATAAACCTTGACCATCTATCTCGTTTTGGCGTCGGTGGCGCAACGGTTAGAGCGTTGGGCGGAACCAAGAGGTCCCGGGTTCGATACCCACCGTGGCCCGACGTTGTGCCCTTGGGAAAGGCACTTTACACGACTTCCCCACCATGTACGGTGGAGTGACGCCCACCGAGCCTATTAGGCTAATCTGTCTAACTGTGTGCCAAAAACACACTACGGATTTGGTGCGCCGATGTGACAATACCTGCACATTGGCCACTGAGAACCGTTATTTTTTTTATCTATCTCGTTAACACTGGATATTTCGTCCAAAGAATGGATTTCATGGCCTTGCCCTTAAAGAGCATGAAGGTAGGATGGCTGCGAAGTCAATATTTGCTGACGGAAAGACGCAATCATGATGTACTCAGTTAGGTCATTTCAGGGGTCTTGTGACCGGTCAAGGTAGGCCATGGGGGTTTATGTAAGAACATCTAAAAATATAATGTTTAAAGCCATCAAAATATCAGCTGGCTCCGTAAATAGCTATATATAGTTTTATCAATACTAAATCAATATACACTACAGTATGTACCTACCTACACAGCTAATCAACTTCGTAAATAATTAATACCTAGCACGTTGTTAGAATGAGAGCATGTGTTGGTATGATAAATATTCTAAAGTTATATTTTACTTTCATCCATTCTGTTGTGTTAAAAAAACTTCAGCAACTATGAGAAGTGTGGCTCTCCTCAAACTTACAAAACTTAGATTTTCACAGAATGGATTTACGACGAACAGACTTAGTTTGCAAAACGGATGCTTTTTTATAGTTTTTTTTAAATATATATTCCAACATGTTCCGAAAATACGTGCTGGTGGCACACTCAAGTTTTTTTTCAACTTATATTAATGCCGTCACCAACACAGGGGACAATACAATACTCATTTTCACCTAAGCGAAGTTAGGAAAGTCGTGTAAAGTGCCTTTCCCAAGGGTACAAGATCGGTGGCATGTCAGGACTCGAACCCGGGACCTCTAAGTTCCGAGTCGAGCACTCTGCCGCTACGCCACACGACCCAACATTTTGATAGTTCGTCCCCAGGTATCGTGCATCTCTGCAGGGTAACCTTTGACACACAGATGTTCGGCTTCACATAGAGTGTGTTTAGCTGTCGCAATTGTAATATCTTATATAACTAGTACAGCGGTGATAGAAAGAACTAAAATGGGGATAACTATTCTCATTTTCCTGGCTCTTCCCTTGCTGAGTTTGGCGTCACCTCGTGATCTGCAAGGTAAAATGTTCAACATTCTCGACCGCTAAATCAGAATGCCAACATTTTAGCCAGTCTTTGCAGGTGATGATACTAAGTATGTTGGCTTTGGTCGATTATGGTCTAATTATGTAAAATCTATTCATGTGAAATCACATTTGTTGTTATATGTGTATATATATATATATAAATATGAACAAATAGCAAATATCCTTCCCATATATGTCTTAGCAATCAAAATATAGACAAAATACACGGGAATCTTGTAGTGAACAAATGAACGATGTGTTATGACCTGATACTCGACACCAAATAGGGTTCCTGATTGGTCAACTTTGCCTGGTTATATATGATAACATGTCTCATCTCTTCCTGTTTGTTTGCACCTAGACCCGCGGGTCTGCACCTTTGGCGAGTCCTGGTTCACGTCATTTTGCACTTTGACCTGTCCCAACGGGTTCGCCAAGGACGAGAACGGTTGCGACCTCTGCCGATGTGCAGGTAAATTGCAGCGTTTTAAAGTAAGGAGGGCAGGATTATAAAAAATGGAGTATAGCAAAGAATCAAATAGAATAAAATGTAAAGGGAGCAGAATAGAATAGAATAGAGTAGAGTAGAGTAGAGGAGAGTAGAGTACGTAGAGTAGAGTAGAGTAGAGTAGAATAGAATAGAATAGAATAGAATAGAATAGAATAGAATAGAATAGAACAATCTAGAATAGAATCTTTTGTAGGAATGTTTCTTAAATGTTGCTAAGAAAAACTAGACTTCGTTGAACTAGAAATGAGAGGTGTTGATGTAGTCCCATGTCTGTTTACGGATAGTGTTGAATTGTAAAGTAAATAGTAAAAATGGCACCAAATGACAATACCAAACTACTCCGTCACCAGACCAGGCCCCCTGCCCTCCCCACACCTGTGAGAGTTAACAGTAGTACCTGGCTAACTGTGTTCTCTCTCTGACTCCCCAGACCAGCCGACCTGCCCTCCCTACGCCTGTGAGAGTTAACAGTAGTACCTGGCTAACTGTGTTCTCTCTCTGACTCCCCAGACCAGCCGAGCTGCCCTCCCCACGCCTGTGAGAGTTTACAGCAGTAACTGGATAACTGTGTTCTCTCTCTGACTCCCCAGACCAGCCGGCCTGCCCTCCCCACGCCTGTGAGAGTTTACAGCAGTAACTGGATAACTGTAATCTCTTCTCTGACTCTCCAGACCAGCCGGCCTGCCCTCCCCACGCCTGTGAGAGTTTACAGCAGTAACTGGATAACTGTGTTCTCTCTCTGACTCCCCAGACCAGCCGGCCTGCCCTCCCCACGCCTGTGAGAGTTTACAGCAGTAACTGGATATCTGTGTTCTCTCTCTGACTCCCCAGACCAGCCCGGCTGCCCTCCCCATGCCTGTGAGAGTTTACAGCAGTAACTGGATAACTGTGTTCTCTCTGACTCCCC